TATACTAAGTAGAGAAATATAAAAGAAATCCATAGCACGAGAGATAAATACATAAGAAAATACATTGTGCAGGATAAATACATTTATCACGCAAAGTGTCAGAGAAACTGAGTGACATTCAGAAAATAAAATGCAAAATATAAAGGATCCTGAAGGTGTTGAGGAAGGAAGATAGGAGGACAGGGGAGGAAGGTGGGAGGAAAGGGGGAGGGAGGTTGGGAGAGGGGAAGGGAGGCGGGAGGAGAGGGGGAGGGAGGCGGGAGGAAGACAACCCCCTGTACCCCCCCCTCTAGATAAGTAACAATCCGGACCGTAGTGGTATCGCGAAACTAATGGTAAAATCATCATGGAGTTCAAAATGACAATACACATAGAATCCAGTCCAAGCAAATATATATATATATATATATATAAGAGCGCGCACAAAAAACAATCGTAAAGTCGCATAATCCGTGCGACAATCCTGGCAGGCATCGTTAATATACGATGCGGGCTATGGAACAAACTCAAGTCGGCAGCATGTAATTACTTATTCATGAGGCGTAGTAACGCCGTAGCAAAAGTTGACAACCTGACAATTTATCTGTCAATTAAGCATCCATAATAGGCATGGCGTCAACGGTTAGTGGGTGGAGCGTGGGGAAAAGTGGCGGTGACGGTATGGGTTGGAGGGGAATGCTTCCGGGTTGGGGTGGTGCGGACGTGCGTGTGAATACGGTGTGTTTCGGCGAGGGTATGGGTGGGGATGAAGGCATAGATGATTGGTTCATGGCTGTGGTGGGTTCAATGTACCATCGCCGTCGCTCGTGGCCATCGCCGTCGATGTGGAGGGGGACCGCGCAGCGCGCTTGAGTAACATGCCCAACGGCGACGACATTTAAGGTAAACGAATATCCCACAACCAACGAGAAGAATGCAACCTGCTAGTAAAACATATAACACAGCGTTGTACACAAAGATACATTTATTTACACCATTTACGTCTCAAATGAAACGATGCATGCACATATTACGCAAACACAACCGTTGTTTAGAATACAGGTCTGCATCAAACGCAGCCTTATATAACAACGAAATCACAGTGGACTATACGGGGTTTTTTACTATAAAATCCCGGAGTATACATGTAAAATACGATAATCTCATAGAAAGTCACAAAATATTTTTACAATGACCATATCTTTCACATTCACGAAATGCAAAACACGGCATACTATCAAAAAGACATTATTAGATTCGTTCCGGACGAGTGTACATATTAACGTAACAGTGTCACGAATCGCTCTGCAATCACGACGGATTTTCTGCGTGTTTTTTGCCGAGACAAAAATAATTTTCCAATAGCGACTGTATTAAACTAAAAAAAATCACAAAAATCAGCATACGTTATTTTGTGAATATATTATTCTACACTCTGAATTGCCGTTAATTGCAAGATGCAATTTATATATTATGTTAGCTCAAATATATACGATGGTTTTTTTTGTAAAAATATAGTGCGAGGTAGGCCTACACTGAATATGCGTAACTCATAATGTGTTTTCACGCTGAGAAATCGCTATAAACATCACGATCGCATGCCTCGCCTGGCCCGCCGCAGCATAATACACAGAAAGACCCACCCATCCTGCCGAATGCAGCAGAAATGATAGGTTTCAAAACAACGTCAAAATTCACCGTAAAAGGTCCCGCTAGTGAAATGAAAAGTAAAACGTTTGTACACATACTATACGCCAAAGGTGAGATATCCGTATCCTAAAGCTGATGTTCTGATTTGCCTCGCGTGCTATCAAACCTTGCATGCCTTATTGCTTTGAAACTGACACCATTAGATTTCGCTGCACTGTGCATCACGCCTGATAAACCTCGGCTACGTACATCAATTCTGTGCATTTCTGATTTTTCAACGCTTCCCATAATTTTACCCAAAGACAAAAGATAATCTGCAGGCTTCACCGACCCATACTGCCTCTGTTCTCTGCATCTGCACATGACCACCTATGGTATACAATTCCGTTTTATTTGTTTCTGTTTTTCTGTGTAAAGACAACCATAAACACTTGCCAGTAGTTCGCACAACATATCAGGCTGTGAGTTCAAACGCGGACAATATACCCACTTATTACGAAGTATTCAGACTCATATATATTCTTCATTCAGTGATCATGTCTTTTTAGATGAAGAGCCATTGGTGGCGGGCTTGGCGTCTGAGTGGTTAGAGTTTAAATAAATTTTAATAGCTTCAGGATCGTTTTTTTGTAGCTTTGGAATCATTTTTGATGGGCTTTGAGTTATTTTTCATAGATTTAGATTTGTTTTGGATACGTTTAGCCTTACTTTTATTATCCGTAGAAACATTACGTGTAACTTTGTTAGCAGTCTTGATAGTTGGTGTAAACGGCCCTACGTCAACGAGAATCCAGTGGTACAGCGGTCTCTTTTCAAAGCGTACTATTGTCATGTAGTTCCGCAGTGTCTTAAGACCATCGCCATACTTCTTCATACGCAGCACCTTTTCACTGTAACATAGCATAAGAAATGTGCAATAGTTGCACGATCAATCGTATATGTATTGAGCGGGTTAGCTGTAATAGTCAGGACATTAAGTAACGGACTAAGCGTGTGAGCATGAAAGATTCGGCTTACCTATCCTTGCTCTTCTTCGCGTGTTCGTGGCGTACAGTGGTGTAGGTGGCAAACTTTGCTAGTGGTCGTTTCACGGGCATCTTGTGGTGATTTAACCTATAGAAACAAACGCAATGTAAATGCGGATGGCGTACGTAGCACGACATCGCCAACAAGTAAAATTATGAAGTGCCGATGTCCCTTGCAAACTCGATCTAATACTGATGTTACATACCTCTGTGGCCACGCTGGCACACCGGCAATATATATATATATATATATATATATATATATAGGTAATGGTTTTGCACTCAATACTCAATATAAGATATGAACGACATAAGAATGAAAGTAAAAACGTTAGTTAGAAAATGCTCGATCTTGTGGTGGTTAACTAGTTTTACCCACATATAATGTTGGTAAAATATCACAATGATAACCTATGATTGTAGATTCCACACCTGAAATGCATGTCGTCGTCCTCGCCTCCCCACAGCCAGAACAAGTTGCTATAGCCGTTGACCTTTCGATATTGTTCCGGTGTGAACGCGGCCACTCCGCCCATGTGCGCAGCGTAGCCGCCTCTGTAAATAACCCCGCAATGATAGTAGAATCGAGTAGATAGATGTGGGATTATAACAATAGTTCTCTTACTGCTTATCTTGATAGTTGGACTCATGGTTCAAGTTTCGGTTACCTGACAAGTGATTACGCGCGTTTATATATATTAAGTGTACGATAAGAGCAATTTAAGAATATAAATACTTGCGCCAATCCTTGTGACGTACATTGAATGTTTTGACTGAGGAAGACCTCGTCTCACTGATCTCTATAATATAATCGATATAATATATATATATATATAATATATATATATATATATATATATATATATATATTATATATATAATATATATATACATCATTATATATATAATATATATATATTATAAACTGATCTCTATAATATAATATAATATAATATAATATATATATATGATTATATTGTAGAGATCAGTGCCTCGTCTGCGCACCGGTAAATAGTGCGCATGCGTGCGCGGACGTATGTGCGCGTGTGTCGGCGTGTGCTCTCATGCACGTTCCTGTGGTTGTTATTGTTGTTATTGTTGTTGTTGTTGCTGCGCTGCTGCTGTTGTTATTGTGTGTGTGTGTGTGTGTGTGTGTGTGTGTGTGTGTGTTGTGTTGTGTGTGTGTGTGTGTGTGTGTGTGTGTGTGTGTGTGTGTGTGTGTGTGTGTGTGTGTGTGTGTGTGTGCGAGTGTGCGCGTGGGCGTGGGTGCGTTTTCAATGGCATGCGACTGTCTTCATTGTTAGGCTATAAAGCTGGCTGGTGGTAATGGCGGACGTACGTGTAATTGTAGCGATCCACTGCCGTCGTCATGTGCCGGACATAGTGATTGGCACAGTGGTATATGTTTGCGGTCAGTCTTGGGTACACATCAAACATCGTGAAGATGACGATGACCAATGGTGTTGTCGCATGGCTTTTCTTCTCCAAAAACCGGCGTTCATCAAATCGCCCCTTGTTGAACTCCTTCGTAGTGTTTGCCTGCCCCACAGCGAGATAAACGAGGGAATGCTTGGTTTGCTCATGTATTGTGTGGAGACAAAGAAAGGCAGGTCTGTCGGGTTTTGGCATAAGGCAAAGGTTGGAGTGGGGGAACTTTCGCTAAAGGTGTTTTGTGGCACAACTTAATTCTCTGATCGTCTACGGAAGATGAGTTAAACAACCACAAAGTCGAGTTGTAATCTACTGCCCACGCACAGTTAAGTGTCAGCCTCCGTGTATACTTAAATTATTTTATTGCTGTTGTGGGCGGCTGTTCCAACAGATCAACCGCGTAGATGTATGGAGTGCTGGTTTATAGCGTACCTGTCCCACCGCTGATAAATGAAGTAATAGTGTTATAGACATACGCTGCTCAAACAAGTAGATGCAGTAGTGAATTTGTTGCCGCTGTAGAAAGCGATGAAATGTGTCGCAAGAACACAAGTAGCTAGAGGTTCGCGTTCGCATATATGAACAATGATGGCCACCCCGTGCCGCGCGCGTGGTGCAGACGAATTTTGCGGGCGCCATTGCGGCAGACCGTACGGCCACGTATTCGAGTAATTCAGCGGCCTCTCACGCTTAGCCACGTCAATCTTTCGTCAACTGTTATTGACATAAATCCTTCCAACTAGAAGGAGAAAAATGAATACATTTAATTCCCAAGCGCTAGGCTACTTATATTTAATGTTCTGCAAACAGAGACGGCGCTTGAAAGCGTTGAACATATCTGCACACGTGCTCGTGCTTTTTCGCTTGTGCTGTTAGTGGCGCTATCTAGGGCTATGTGCCGTTTGTGGGATATATAGGCTGATAACTAAACACATTGAGGTTCGCCATCTCATTTAATTAAACTACACACACACATACGAGCCCGCACACACCACGCAACGCACCACACGCACAACAAACACACACAACACACACACACAACACACACACACGCACACAAATACATACATCATACATACATATCATTACATACATACCATACATACATACAATTATATATATATATGATAGTATATATATATATAGTCATAGTATAATATAATATATATGTAATCTCTATACTATAAAAGGGAAAAGCCCATTTTTTGTTAGCTATGTTCTGCCTTAATCTGCTCGCATGATTTCAAATTGCTTGATTTTATCTGTAAACGATCATTGACTACTCATAGAGTAATACTTGGCGCAGTTTTTCAATGATGAAAACCACGATAAAGTTGAATTTGAAGCCGTTTTTATTTAAGCCTATTGGTGTACCGATACCATACCGGTATATCGATCGACGTCACTACCATTAACCAATGTAGTACGTGTTGTACGCTTCAGCTTGCGCTGTGGCGCAGTGGTAGCACGCTTGCGTAATACGTTAGGGCATAGATATATACAACACACATGTCTTGTATATATCTATGGTTAGGGGTCGGCAGTTGGAAACTCGACAGCACCGGAAATTTAAACAAAATATTTCTCGCCAGGTGTGTGTTGCAGATCAGCATTTGACCGGCATTTACAGGTGATTATAGACGAAATGGAGTAGAGAAACATTAAGACTTTGGTACATTTCGTGTTTATATACCATTAATTTTTTTTATTGAGACGTTCCAAGTGCCTGTGTGTCAGTGTGCATGCAGCTGCAGCAAGCGTTTGCAGCTGAGCGTTTGCAGCGTTGCACATCACCATTTCGACGGCATTTGCATGAAATTCTCCGCAATGATAGGTGAAAAACAGTATAGAAACAGTATAGACTTTGGTAGTAAATAGATTTCGTATTTATTTACCATTATATTTTATTGAAACGCTCCAAGTGCCTGTGCTTCACCACAAAATGGCACAATGTGCTCACCACATCTTCACGTTCGCGTTGAGTTTGCGCCGAAAACTTTGTAGCTCAGTTAAATACCTCTTTATCTCCTGCCACTTAACGTAAGTTTTCCGAAATATCATATATGCCTGTTTCTTGAATACACAATCATAGTCGTAGGCCTACACAAACACAGTGACCCATGTTTGCCCAGTTCCAATAAATGGCATTATTCCTGCCGATTGTCACCAGTTCCTGCATGAATTATGTCAAGAGTAGATAATAGGAGATATCTCCTATTATCTACTCTTGATTATGTATTGTTGGCAAAACATGTTTAGAAGCACTCAACCAGATCATATATTTGGACATAAAACGATACAAATGTTATGATTTATCCCATTTTCTTTCTGTCCTAGAATAGATTGCATGCACATGCATACTGTTCAAGCAATTATGTATGCTGTTCACAATTGAGAATTGCCACATCACATGCAGTTCAAACTGCAATTCACTGCCACGTGTTTAAGGACTTGTGTCCCAACAGACAGTGATTATCAACTGCTGACCAGAAAGCTCCTGAAATTATTAACTGCTCACCAAACAAACTGCTGATATTGGCCATTTCAATTCTATTATCAATTCTTACAAACTGCTCATATAATTCGATATTAGGCATAAAATAAAATAAATATCTGTTTACGGTTCCAAATCCATTTTTTTAAAGGGTAGGTTGGTAGGTAAAAAACAAGCATTTTTTTACTTAAAAATTCCTTTTAAAGTCAAAAACACCAAAACTATCATTCAGTGTGTTTATTTTCTAGAACTTTATACTCCGATACATATTTTGATGGATAAATTGTAGAAAAATATTGTTTAGGAAGACTAATTTCTATTTCTCGACTTTATTTATGATCTTGGTCTAAAATAAATCAATTTCATATTCTTTTTACAACTGCTAATAACAAAATTTGAGTCGCCACTTTTTTCGAAGGGTCTGTCCGATAACCGTAAACAGATTTTTTTCTGATGTTATGCCTTAAGTCTCCACGGGGATTTCAATACTCCTCACAGCTCATTGCCATTCATGTCAATATATCCACATTCTATAGATGTACGTACACTTCTGATGCAAAATAACCATTGTTTTCTTACAATAACTACTCATACACATACCACTCATCCCTTCAATATCAGACCTTCCATTTCAATTTACAACACTGCAATTCCCTATCCGCTTTTTCTATGCTATGACAATAAACAAAGCCCAAGGACATACTTTCACTACCATAGGCTTGGACCTGACCACACCTGTCTTCTCCCATGGCATGCTCTATGTTGCCCTCTCACAAGTAGGCAAACCCACGGCGATATTCATTCATACACAAGACACGAACACCAAAAACATACTTTACAAAAAAGCCCTTGATCCTTAGGTGAGCTGCAACACTAATACACTCATTCATGAATTCCCACCGTTCGAAGGACGGGTACTTTGCTAGTATATTATAAGAGAGGAGAGGCCCCCCTCCCATGGCATGCTCTATGTTGCCCTCTCACAAGTATGCAAACCCACGGCGATATTCATTCATACACAAGACACGAACACCAAAAACATACTTTACAAAGAAGCCATTGATCCTTAGGTGAGCTGCAACACTAATACACTCATTCATGAATTCCCACCGTTCGAAGGACGGGTAGGCCTACTTTGCTAGTATATTATAAGAGAGGAGAGGCCGATTTTCTGACTCGGTAATCTTCGCCGCAGTGAACGTCAAGCCCCCGCCACCGACTTCCGTGTATAGCCCGTGTGTCCGACACCAACATGGGCTTATCCATATTTGTCAAATCCACTCATATTTATAGATACTCGCAAAATGGCCGCCTTCGGCGGCCATATTCGCTCGTTACGCTGATGAGACTACGATGATTTCTCTAAATCCCGGCCCGATTCATAGTAATCTTTTAGTAAAATATTGACTTGATACGAAGACAATAATACAAGGATCCTGTTACTAATATAACATTTTCTGTCCCGGTATATTCTAAAAAACAATCGTAAAGTCGCATAATCCGTGCGACAATCATGGCAGGCATCGTTAATATACGATGCGGGCTATGGAACAAACTCAAGTCGGCAGCATGTAATTACTTATTCATGAGGCGTAGTAACGCCGTAGCAAAAGTTGAGAATCTGACAATTTATCTGTTAATTAAGCATCCATAATAGGCATGGCGTCAACGGTTAGTGGGTGGAGCGTGGGGAAAAGTGGCGGTGACGGTATGGGTTGGAGGGGAATGCTTCCGGGTTGGGGTGGTGCGGACGTGCGTGTGAATACGGTGTGTTTCGGCGAGGGTATGGGTGGGGATGAAGGCATAGATGATTGGTTCATGGCTGTGGTGGGTTCAATGTACCATCGCCGTCGCTCGTGGCCATCGCCGTCGATGTGGAGGGGGACCGCGCAGCGCGCTTGAGTAACATGCCCAACGGCGACGACATTTAAGGTAAACGAATATCCCACAACCAACGAGAAGAATGCAACCTGCTAGTAAAACATATAACGCTGAGAAATCGATATTAGACGTTGCCCGTTGCTGAAACAAAAAAATAACATCGCATACGATTTATACACAGCGTTGTACACAAAGATACATTTATTTACACTATTTACGTCTCAAATGAAACGATGCATGCACATATTACGCAAACACAACCGTTGTTTAGAATACAAATCTGCATCAAACGCAGCCCTATATAACAACGAAATCACAGTGGACTGTACGGGATTTTTTACTATAAAATCCCGGAGTACATGTAAAATACGATACTCTCGTAGAAAGTCACAAAATATTTTTACAATAACCATATCTTTCACATTCACGAAATGCAAAACACGGCATACTATCAAAAATACATTATTAGATTCGTTCCGGACGAGTGTACATTTTAACGTAACAGTGTCACGAATCGCTCTGCAATCACGACGGATTTTCTGCGCGTTTTTTGTCGAGACAAAAATAATTTTCCAATGGCGACTGTATTAAACTAAAATAAAATCATAAAAATCAGCATACG